GTGCGTATAACTATAACATGGGAATTTTCAACACTGCAGAAAAGGGTTAATGTTTGCATAAACAACAAGAGTAAACAGACAGTCAAGCTGTTTCTGTGGTGAGGAAATATTCTATCGATGGATCCAGTAACACCAGCTTCTAGCACTGGACAGTTTACTTGGACTGGTAACATATACAAAGCAGAAAGTGGTAACATGCTTGAATTGGAAGCTGGTGAAAGACTTGCATTTTTTATCATACCGTCAATTTCATCATCACCATAATCAATGAGTATACTCTCTCTTGGAATGATTTAGTGACACGATTTAAGGGAGTGATGGCATGTTCTTTAGCCTGTTGCTTCTCTTGAACTTTCTCCTTCACTGTCACAAGACGTGTAAGGCAACAGTTTAATAAATGTTTTATAGTAACTGAGCAGTACTTGACTTAGTTTTAACTCTTGTCTCTTTGCTGGGAAGTAAACAAAACTTCTAAGCAGATGTTTTTGGCTTTTCATGACCAGACATGTTAAGTCAGGGACAAAATTTCAGCACAAGATTGCTGCATCACTGCTTAAAAGCTGATATAGGATGCTCAGTGTTGTTACTAATTTTAGATCTCTTTTTAAGTACAGCACATTCCTAATGTTTCATTTAAGAAGCACATAGTTCCAGACATTATCAAATCAAAATACACACAAACTAATCTACATCAACCCTAAACATAGTCAAGTTCCACAACTTTCTCTATCCCATGAGGATTAATCGAACCTCCAAAAGTAGCAAGAACAAAATGCGCTAGTAATCTAAGCAGAAAACAAAGTACAAGGTGTAAGTAATTATTTGATATTTTGCCATATAATCGTGAGACTAATTTAAGGCATGTTTGTGCACATTACAAATTGATAATACTTCATAGTGGCATTATATCAAACTTATGTGTTAAGCTAGGCTATGGCAAGAAAAACAGAGAAGTAAATCATAGTCTGTTGATTCAGTCTAACTAACCCGTAAGTTTCTTACATCTTTTATGATCAGATCAGGATTTGTTTAGGAAGTACTAATAAAAAATAAGACAATGGTCGATTTATCAGTTGGGCAGGCAGCTAAAACCTAGTATGTTTTGAAGAAATATGTAAAACATCATTTTGTTATTTGAAAATTAACAAGGTTCAACATTAATGGTTGTCTGATTTCCTCGGATAAGTGAAAGTCTGATTCAAGCAAGTAGTCTCAAACCTTTATCTGTAATGCTATACAAGTATAAAAATAATTAACATTTTTGTTGCCTTAGTTTTGCTTATTCACTATTAATAGATATTTTTTTAAGGTTTTTACGTAAATTATAGGTAAAAATTGTAAAGTTTCCAGCCCTATATTTGTTTGTGTTAATTTATTAATGTATCCCCTACTTATCTAGTGTCGTAAGCTATCACCTTTTGAGCAAAAGGTGTTCTGTTCTTAATATGGCATTTATTATTTATGTTTTCTTATTAATTGTGATTATCAGATATTGTTTTTTAGACAAGTAATTCATTGTGAGTGTAGCAAATGCTTTTCTTTTGTTTCTGGATCTTTTATTCGATGATTAGAACATTAGTTCTGTGTAAACATGTCAAAGAACTATGCTGTTTTTTTTTGTCTTCTACATGAGACAAGAAGAATTTCTTTTCCAGACAAGAAACAAGTTGCCATTTCTAAAACTTATTATGATGATGTAACAAAACAAAAATAGCAAGTGAAAAATGTCATATACTGTTTCTCCAAAGCAAATTGCCTAGTATTAAGTCATTATTAGACAGTATATATGGAATGGTATGATTGCAGACTGGATAATATTTACTGCATTTATCTTAGTTAAAAATACTCTACTTCAAAAATATGGTCTTTTATATTTGACCCTCCTTACTGCCTAAAAAGTTTTTTTTCCATGTGGAACATTTTTTTAAAATTTTGTTATGTTTCAGTTTTTGCTACATTGTTTCAAAGCCATAAAGAACAGGTTGTTTATAATTTCAGGATAGAATGATTTTTTTGTGTGATGATTTATCTTATAGCTTCAGTGAAAGAACATCATCCTGCTAAAGATACGTGTTAGTCACATGATCTATACAATATATGAACACTAGAAAACTTGGAAATTTCCCTAAGATGCATTATGTGTTTAGCCATGACAAATACATGTGTGCAGGGAAAGAGGGCTAGTATATGCCATAGATTCTGCAGCACAATGCACATACAAACTGATAATCACGTCGCATGCCCTACAGCACAATAACATACAAACAGATAATCACGTCACGTGCCCTACAGCACAATAACATACAAACAGATAATCACGTCACGTGCCCTACAGCACAATAACATACAAACAGATATCACATTCGTGTGCCCTACAGCACAATAACATACAAACAGATATTACATCGTGTGCCCTACAGCACAATAACATACAAACAGATATCACATCGTGTGCCCTACAGCACAATAACATACAAACAGATATCACATCGTGTGCCCTACAGCACAATAACATACAAACAGATATCACATTGCGTGCCCTACAGCACAATAACATACAAACAGATATCACATCGCGTGCCCTACAGCACAATAACATACAAACAGATATCACATTGCGTGTCCTACAGCACAATAACATACAAACAGATATCACATCGTGTGCCCTACAGCACAATAACATACAAACAGATATCACGTCGTGTGCCCTACAGCACAATAACAAATGAACAGATATCATGTCGCGTGCCCTACAGCACAAAAACAAATGAACAAATATCACGTCGCGTGCCCTACAGCACAATAACAAATGAACAAATATCACGTTGCATGCCCTACAGCACAATAACAAAAGAAGAGATATCACGTCGCGTGCCCTTCAGCACAATAACAAATGAACAGATATCACGTTGCATGCTCTACAGCACAATAACATACAAACAGATATCACATCACTTGCCCTCCAGCACAATAACATTTAAGGACAACAAGGGACCCTTCAGTTTACTACTTCCACCACATCTGAAGACAACCTGATAGAAAACTAAAACTGTCTTAATTGAAGACGACCCCTACTCTGCCAAAATTCATATTTGTGTCCCCTAGCCCTACCATTCTTACTATTAATTATGAAAAAATATGGTACAAATACTATCAATTTTTCTAACAATCTTAAATACCTCAATCAGACCTCTTTCTAACTCTTCTTTTTTGAAGAGAAAATTTCAGAGATCTTAACCCATCCTTTTATAAAAACCTTAGCATCCTAGGTATCATACTAATAGCCCTTCTCTGAACCTTTTCCAACAATTCATAGTCCTTCCTAAGGTAGAGAGCCCAAGACTGAACATAGCACTCTAAGTATGACTTAACCAGTGACCTCTACAATTAAGTTATAACATCTTTAGACTTGTATTTAATATTTCTCTACTTAAAACCTAAAATCCTATTTGCCCTTCCAGTAGCATTAGCACTGTGTGGATGACTTAAAACATCTGATCAACCAAAACACCAAGATCTTTTTCTTCCATAACACTGTTAAGGTTTTATTCCCATCAAAATTATACTTATAATTCAAATTATGCATTACTTTTCATTTCTTATAATCAAAAAACATCTGCCATTTATTTGCCAAACTCTCCAAATTATCTAATTGTTTTTTGTAAAGCAGCAGTAGCAGCATCTTCACAACCAACAACACCTATGATCTTAATATCATCGGCAAAGTTACTTAACCTATTCACTGTTCCTTCATGTGTGTCATTGATGTAAATATAAAAGAGCAAAGGTCCTAATACTGATCTCCAAGGTACCCCAAATGTGACATTAATCCAATGTGACTGACCTCTATTTATAATAACCATCTTCCATCCAGCCACTTTTCTATTCAATGAGACAACTTATGTCCTACATCTGTGGAGATAATTTTTTTAACAAACCTTTTATGTGGTACATTGTCAAATGAGCTATGAAAATCCAGATACACCAAATTTACACCTGTACCTTCATCTCCATGAGCAGTAACCTCTTTAAAGAATATCTTAAAAGATAAGTCAGGCAAGATTTTCCTCTAGTGAAACAAATTTTTAACTTTTATCCTTTATCAGACTTTTACAAAGTTTTCTCACTACTGATATAATACTAATGGGCCTGTAGTTATTGGGGCAATTTTTTGTCACTTTCTTTAAAGAGAGGAGAAATATCCAACAATACAGCAAATAGGTTTAATTTACTTTGTAAGACAATTAATTGAAATATTTAACATTAAAATGGAACAAAACAAGCCTTTATGAGAAATAATAATGTTTGGAATGTTTTTGGAGAAAATGTGGATAAACTAGTTAAAAATAACAATTAATTTATATCACTTCAGTTTATGCTAAGAAATAATTTTAATGTTCTCTAACAAAATTTCAATAAAAATGAAATTTAGAGTAGTGTTTTAAGAGAAGTTTTCCTTACAGACTGTTGCTCTGGGTTAGTTTACTGCTTTGAGTTGAAACCTCCATCTAATCATGAACTGTTTGGTGTCTGGACTTGCATTAACTGCTCTTACGTTCATCATAGAGAACATAAAATCGTGATTCTTGTGACTGAAAGAGTCTTTGAATTCTGACTTCATCTCTTTAGTTCTTGTTGAATTTAGGTTTTTCTCAACATTTAGTAGTTTTAGACTTTCCAGTACGAGATTAATTTTGTGAAAAAGAATCGATTAAGGATTTGTGTTTTATAGTAAAAAAAAAGTCCTAAGCTTGTTTATCAGAAATATCCAGTGTAGTTCAATGTTTTTGTGCTGAAATTGAAGTTGCTATGGGTTAAAAATAAAAGAAATTTGTCACAGTGATGACGTTCATTTTTGTTTAGAAATCCAAACTCTTATTAATAATAAACAGTACCAAGTAATCAATACAAGTATTAAACCTTAAAAACATTCACATATATGTTGTTTAAAAAAGAAGTATGATGGAGTAACTCATAAAGCTGTGTTTTGATTGGCATAGCGAGTGTGTTCTGATCCTGAAAGAGTGATGCTGGAAAGACTTTTTATTCAGGAAGAAAAAGAAGCTTTGAAACATGACAGAGAAGCTGTTTCAGAAGGAAAAGGTAAAAATACTTATTTTTTAAAATTTAAATATATATATATATATATATATATATATATATA